TGTGGAACCAACCCTGGCCTTACCAGATGCCGATGGGCAACTGGAACGGAGCGGGGGGGGCACAAGTGATGGCTACTCCGGGGGCCAACTATGGCGCTTCTCCGCAGGGGGCAAACTGGGGCATGGTTGACAACTCCTCGTTTGGGGGGGGTGCAAACTGGGGGGCGAGTCCGGTGAACGCTGCAAATGCGGCAGCCGCGTGGGCGAACGCAAACGTGTGGGCCGGACTTGCGGCGGCGGGGAATGCGTGGGGGCCCCCCTGGGCCGCCTGGAGCGTGTTTGGGGCGGGCCCGGCAGCAGCGGCTGCGGGCATGGCGCCGAGCCCGCAACCGGCGCCGGGGGGGGGCATGGGGAAGCACCGGCAGGAGGGGGGTGGAGAGGGGGAGACCCGAGCGGACGGCGTCTGGGTGCCCAAGATTGTGAGGACAGAGCCGGTCCGGGGGAGTGCACCGTTGCAGTGGCAGCAGCAGCTGGGGGGTGGCGGGGACGCGGGGTACTTGGGTTTGATGAAGAACGGGGAGATGGCGGACTCGCCAGGGGGGCAGGAGGACGGAGTTCCCACCCCGCTGAATCTGCTATAGTTGCTGTGGTCTCCAGGTGTATGTATCGGTAGCGCGATGTAGGTTACGGCGTTGCGTCAAAAGACGGAGGTCGGGCTAGGGCAATAAGGAACTGCGGCCATTGTGGTTTCACGTATACATAGAGCAGGTCGATTTTGACGTAGCGGTTTGGACTGGACCGGCGACAGGTTTTACAGCTCCGCAAGCTGTGGGAACAGTGCCTTTAGCGCGGCGCAGACATCATGCTTTATGTAAAGAACTCTTACTGCATAAGAATGGACATATGCTTATGAACGCTGCACTTTCTGCAACAGAGTTTCTGGTCACATCGAATCCGCACGTCATGCTAGCTTTTATTGCACAATGACTTCGAATCATTGGATCAATGCTCAGGCTTCAAACCACGTTGAATGCTCTGATCATTTAGTAAAGGTGCCTTGCGTAAGTCACTAGTTTCGTAATATACATTATAATATGCCAGTCGGAATCAGCATTAAGACTATATACATGCATGAACATGGGATACATGCATGGCTGGCCCTTTAGAAGCGAATCATATGCAATGGACGCATGCGTGCAGTGGCTTTCTATTAGCTTGTTGGAATTATGGTTTATATTTGAATGCATGTGCAGAACATGAGATTGAAACGGGAGATAGTCGGCTTAAGTGCCCAGAAGTCAAGGGTACGAAGTTACGCCTCAAGAAAGGTTACTTGCCTTAGTACGTCACTTTTTCAACCTTCCCCTAATCAGCCATCTGAGATCACAGACAATTGCCAGCCCGTCAATTTGCAGCCAGAGCTGTATTCAAACGCACAGCATGATATGCCGCAGTAATACAGGGGCGGGGTGCATCATCATATGTGAACGATCTGACAATGCTCAGAAGTGCAGACAATGATTTGCCGGACTGATCGATACCTAAAGCTAGCTAGCTGCACATGTGGGCAGGCCGTTACTTTTAACAACCGTTCATGGCATACTCAAAACTTGAAAGACGTCTACTAACCTAAGCCTTGGTCAAGTTAATAAGCTCAACAACAGCATGCATACTCAAGTGAGAACAGGATTGATGTTGGACTGTGTACAAAGAGGCGCAACAAGCAGCAAATCTAGATCCATTCAATAAAAAGTCGGTCAATTGCAGCACATATTGCTTTGTTTAGATGGATCCAGTCGATGACGAAGATTCGGCGCGTGGATTCTCGACTCTGGTCCTCACTTTCTGAAGGCAGAAGCTGTTCAATATTGCTTTCTGAACCGAGAAGTTTCAAGCCAGACCTTCTTTGCAGCCTGACAAGTGGCTCGACAGAGTTTCATTTGCTTCGTGTTGGAAACCCTTCGTTCGCGCTGTCATGCCGACACCTCAACATCTTCGAGACGCCTTCAATGACTGGCGCATATGCACGGCAAAACAAGGTTCATCATGAGTACTCAGCAAAGTCGTCGGCGTTCCCTTCATCCCCATACACCCCCTCTCCATGCTCCAGCCCCTGCCCCCCAAATCCAGCATCTCCCCCCATCCCAACTTCGTTCAACCCACCCTTTTTTTTGCCTTTCAACTTGGACCCTTTGCCCGCTTTCTTCCCGTTGCCGAGCCCAACTTTCGTCCCACCCCCCCCCTTCCCGGCGCCTTTCTTTGACTTGGGTTGCCCCCCTGAAACGAGAGCAGCCTCCTCCCCCGGGTGTACTTTCGCCTTCCGCTTCCGGCGCCCCCCCAAGCCGTCCGCATCGAACCCCGCATCCGCTGGAAAGAAGGCGATTTCCGTTTTGTGCTGCTGAAAGTATGGGTCATCGGAAGCAGAAAGCGAAAGTTGGGGCTTCGAAAAAGTTCAGGACGTCAGCGAATGTTACTGGAAAGGGCCGGCCGCCACGGCCATGACGTCAGAAAGCAAGTGTCAAGCATGTATCACCGCTTTGCAGTTGCAAAGATTCTTCATAGGCGCCGGGTGCCGCGTTTTGGATGACATAGCTGTGGGCGATCGCTATGATAGGTTTGACCTCTTAACAGAAAGTTCAACACACTAATGACAGGGTGGACCTCTTGAGAAGCGAGAATCCAGGACGTGTTGGACCAAAAACGAACACGATTCGCCTGTACCGACCACTGCATTCCCTGCAACTCTTGCTCTGCAGACCTCCTAAAAGAGAACCCACCTAAAATCGGGTCTGGAGTGACTGGAGTGACAGGACACCAGATCCAGTCCGCGAACAGAGAGCATGTCTTTCCATTCGATGCTAAACCCCCGTAAGTGTCTCCCACGAAGAAAAGCTCCGACTTCTTCACAAAGAAACCGCGCAAAGCAATTCAGCGAAACTTTTTTGTCGCGAATTTCCGACAACGTCGGGAAAAAAGAAACCCCACCCACCTAGCCGATTCGACGGCCCTGGCGCCTCAACCGTTCTCGCCGCCGCCCCCGCCGCGTCATCTTCCGCGACGGCGGGCGCCTCGGTTTCCGGGGGGTCCGGCTCGGGTTTTACCGGTAGGAAGTAGAGCCCGTCCTCGTCCGAGTCGCTGTATGCGCCCACCTTCTCGACGGTCTCGATGTCGAGGTCGATGTCGCTATCCACGTCCTTTTGACCCTTTGGCGCCTGTCAAAACGATCAAAATATAGGCGTTTTAGGACTTCACACTTTGATGCTAGAAGCATAGGGGAAGAGTTTCCGAACTTCAGGATCTGCGCTTCCAGATGTGGTTTTTGTGGGGTAGTCTCGATCAGAGGCACCGGAAGCGTCCATTTCATCAATGCTCTCGCTGATAAGAATGGTGTCGCTCTCCTTGTCCGTCCACCCCTTGGCGCCTGCATAACACTCTAGCTGTGATTTTTAGAAGCTTGCAAGCTAAGGATGGGGTCCCTTTTAAGTAGAACCGCTCTAGGCGCCTACATCGTCAACGGTCTCGATGTCGAGATCGATGTCGCTTTCCACGTCCTTTTGGCCCTTTGGCGCCTGCACAAGGTTGTTGAATCTGTGTCATTGCATCATGCAGTTTGATAAGGAAGTCTTGGTACCTAGTCTTGATCGGAGCCACCGCAGGCGCCAATTATTCGACGAATGCAACTTCAAGTTCGATACCGGTGTCCACGTCCTTCTTTAGGCGCCTGCGCAAAAAGACTCGGGGTTCCCAGCTTTTTCAGCTTGAGAATATTGGTTACCCTTTGATGGATAGTCGTGTTCCTTCCGGTCACCGTATGTGCAGTTCTTGCTGTGGTCTCAATGTCAATGTTGATGTTGTTGTCCACTGTTTCTTTGCCCTCCTTCCGGCAGGGTTTCAGGATTTGGGCTGTTTTGTGGATTTTCGCTTTTGGGTTTTGGACGTTTACATCGTAATCTCAGAAAGCCCTTCTTCGAGAAGTTTTCCGCCTTCATTTGCGCGCCCTCTTTACCCTTTCCTTGAAAGGAGTGTGTCGCCTTCTTTTAAAATTTGGATCATTGATTGGCTGCGAGGGATTCCTCTGGGCCCCAACCTGCTGGTGCGGTCGAAGTCAAGCGGGCAACCGGTGACCCAAAAATAAGGGTTTTCATCAGGTTAAGTTGGACCAAGAAAGGTGAAATCAAACTTAGTTCAAATGTTAGAACGACCAGCTCACAACCCAGACCCTAGCTCGACTTATCGTCAAAGTTATGAGCAGATCTGACCAAAGAGCTATTAGTTAAGAGTCCAATACACTGTTATCTTGAAGTGACAATCCGTAAGTCTTCGTAACCAACTCGTAACCGAGCCCCGGTAACCGACCTCGTCTTCCCGCGGGTTAGAGTCGAACTCGTCCTCCCGTTCGTCGTACTCGTCGTTCTCCTGGAGCTCCTTGAAATCCGGTGCGAATGCGCTCCAGTTCTCCTGGTACTCTTTCGCCCACACGTAGATCACACCGGTGGTTGCGACAGAGGCGACAATCGGACGCGTCGGGTGCCACGCCATATCACGGACGCCCTCCTTCGGACCGTCCAGCGTCCGCATGATCTGCAAGATGAAACTACCTTTCATTCCCAGTCTTTTCCTTGTTCTGCAAGGCATCGTCGAGATGCTGTTATTTGAGAAAGACAAGCGACATTGAGACGTAGCAGATCTGATTGTCGACAAAAGAGAAACTGGGAAGAATCAAGTGCCAGTAGAAAATAGTGCCACGGAATCCATTACCTACTTATCTATCCCTCTAAGGACGTCAACCGAAGCCACCCTCAGCTCTACTCACCGCCACTCGAAGAAGGTCGCAGCATTCCTGTCAAGCAACCCATAAGCATTTCACCCCTGGACAACACTGTGAACCCCCAAGGCTACCCAGTTAAATAGCTGCAGCAATCTTCTTGAGTTGCTATTCGTAGGATCGCATTTAAAGCAACCAAACGCGACCCCCTTCGGAAACTGGAGCCCAAGGATCGACGTTGATCGAGGTCTGATGACCTTCATGAGGGAGAGGTTCCATTCGCAGCAACTCACCTGGGGATAAGTCGTCCCCCACAATATCAGCTTATGCTCCCCCTGCTGCGCCGATGCCCCCATTACGTATTCCGTATCGCCGCTAAAGCACGCCGTCATCCAGGGAACGTTATTGATCGGATCCTTGTGATCGCAAATGTACGTAAAGAACGGGTTCGCGAGTTTCTTTCTAGGGGGGGCGCCCGCCAGGCTGGCCTCAGCCTGCTGCGCCGCCCCCCGCTCCGCGGCAGCCGCGGCCGCGCCCTCGACGGGGAGCTCGACCTTGAAGATGCGCAGCGTGCGGTCGCTGGAGTTGGTCATCAGGTACTGGCCGTTGCGGCTGACCACGATCTGACGCACCAGCTGGCCGCCTGGATACGGATGTAAGAAAGAATGTATGGAAAGAGTTACCAGATAGTCCAAGTTCAATCTAGATTGGTTGCTAAACGGAGCTCGATTCCCATCAGGTCAAGCGAGAAGCTGGCCGAAAATGAACTGACACATCCGCTGCTGCTTGCAAGTCCACTTCCCTTCGTGATCCTCGCCCAGATATGCCGCCTAGTCGGGCCAATGGTCCGTCCTTTGTTGCAAGAGCAGGAACCAAAGGAATGTTACATCAACGATCTTCAATCGTACTTCTGATAAAAAAGAATGTGGTGTAAGCTTTGGGACTCCCTACAGGCTCAAGGCATCTCACTATATTTTTCGGATGAGGGCCCCACGCCGCACTTGCGTTTGCCAAGAAACGGCTCTTCATCCGACCCCTTTTAGATGAGACAAACCCTGGGTTCAGTTCTTGTTAAAACAACAAAAAAGCTCTCTGTTCACTCTGTGACTCAAACAAAAGCCCACCTTGTATTTGCATCCGCCCCAATACCTTCTTACTCGCTGTCTCAACCACGAGCACCTCCCCCCGCGCCGTCCCCACGAACACCAGATCCCCTCGCTTGTTAAACACCGCCGCACCAAATGACACCGAGACCCCCTCCCCCCCTTTCCCCTTCCCCGCCCCCCCCGCCGTGATCTCATCCACACTCAACAACGGCCCGCACCGCGCCTCTTCCCCTGACACCCCAAAGTTGTCCAGGAGAAGGGGGGGGCCTTGTTGCGGGCATACTAGACACATGGCGCTGTCTTTGGGGTGTAAGGACACGCGCAAGATCGTGTATTCACACTTGTAAGATGCGACGCGGGCCCCCGAGGCGACGTCCCAGAGCGAGATCAGATTGTTCTGGACAGTTGAGGAGACCAGGCGTCGCCCGTCCTTGGACCAGCCCACGCTCGAGATCCAGAAGGGTTCCCCATCGATTCTGAGTTCTTTGGCGACGCCCCGGGTGTCGAAGTCCCAGACGAGGATCGAGCCGTTCGTGCAGCCGGCTGGAAAGCAAGAAGAGAAAAAGGAATGTTCATCACGATGTCACAAAAGGCCCCGATCGAGCATCTGCTCATGCCAGGGTGCAATAACTTACTTTCTGAGAAAGTAATTGACAAGAGAGATGATGAATTTCCCCTGGCTGTCCTTCGCGTAAAGTATGCATCCCTGAGGGTAGGTGGTCGCGATTGAGAGGAGGAATAGCTGACCATATTACCTGCCTTGGTTCTGCCTGAATGAGTGGTAAAGTGCCTAAAAATGGGGTAATATGGATCCCAAAGTCTGTCAGTATGACTCTCCTTTGGCGAAGCAAAGCGGTCAGGAGATACAACACCCAGTATACTTCAATCACAAGTCCCACTTTAAAGCATTAGCTACTGAAGATTACCAATTGAAAAGCTCATAAAAGGCGTCACTCTCAAAGCCCCATTTGTGCCGCACCCCTTGTCACAAAGTGTATCGAATCTTCTTGCTGGACACTAGCATCATCGACACCGAGGGATTACTCGGCCTACCTGCAAGAAGCGTACCCCGCCGGTTGAAAGCAACGCACTGGGCATAGTACGGCTCCTGGTATAGGTACTCCTCAATGACTTCGGGGAAGTCGAGGACAAAGCCTTCGTTGGAGTATGACGGATCTGGTGCACAGAGATCAGCCCATGTTTAGCACATCTTCATACAGGGAGCATTCTACATAGCCACTCGTTTAGAGACGTTGAGTGATCAAAAGGTTTGCCCCTGGAACATTCAGTTTCCGCGGGCCCACCATACATGTTCAGTAAATCATACCCCAGCCAACATCATTTTTGCCATACCTACGTTCGCAGATTCTTCCAATATAACTTCAACACTGGACAAAGCTGGCTAAAAAATCAGGAAGATAAAGTAAGGAGAATAGCATCATTCTTGTTTTTTGGACTGGGCACTTGCAGCATCAAGGCCGCCACCAATCAGAGAGCGCTTTTCTAATCTGCTCGGTAAAGTGACGTGGGCCCTTGTCAGTTTACCCAACAGTTTGCAAGATACTGTGTGCTTCTCTGCTAGCCACCACCTCCACAAACCTTTGAAAATTCAAGGTAGATTGAGAATCTGGTCCAGCCACCACCGTTCGCTAACTCGTTGCTTTCTATCTGGGAAAGCTAGCCCAGAACCATCTAGCTGACCAGGCCCGCGTCAATGTGACCAGTGCTCTGACTGACTTTCAATTACGTTTTTCATCCTTGAACATTGCACCACTTTTCCATCTTCCATAAGGCGAGGAAGAAAGAAAAGGATTATATTGTTTGAGGGATAAAATGGATACCACTCACTGTGTAGTGTCAGATTCATGGTCGCTCCAGCCTTCTCTCAGGGAAGTCAGCATCAAGTACGTCCGTCAGGCGAGCTTGAAAGACCACCAGATTGCAGGTGGCCACTATAATGAGCTCCACCACAAGTGAGTTGATAGGTTGATTGCCCAATTGCACCGCCCAATCGACCTGGCCGCCCTCAGGTAATCTTCGATTCCAAGACAAATGCAGTTTCTCTGCTCACTATATAACTTTAAGTTTGAGCTCACTAAGAACTGGGTTGAAGGATTGAATGCCCAACTGCACCGCTCAATCGAGCTGGCCGCCCGTAGGTAAACTTCGATACAAAAACAAATGCAGTTCTTCTGCTAAATTCTACCAGCAATAAGGCCCAAGACGGTGGTGTACTTCTGCAGACTTTTGCGGACTTGCATCGATGGGCTGCAATTGCATTTATCGAACGCTTGCTCACAATCATGCGAGTCAAAGTCCAGCTTGCCTCTTCAGAAGTCTATTAAAAAGTACAGCCCCTTTGTATTGCAGAAGCCTCCGGAAAAATGGTGGCCAGAAACTGAGAAAGTTCAGCTCATGAAATTGAATTCAAGAACGTCTCGCTCTGGCCCTCACGCTTTGCACTAGCTTGACTCTTGAGTGGCAATTGTGCACGTCAATTTTCCAACTGTGGTTGTTCACATCGTTCCTTTTCCTTCCGGCGTGCCGGACGGTTTTTAGGTGACGGGGTTTGAGATTTGCCTGATTGTATTTAAGCGAACGGTACAGCGGCGTACAGCCAAAGCGGGAGACGGCAACAGACGGCAAGGTTTGCCGACTGATCCCAAAACATGTTAATGAGCCATAGTTTATCACTATGACCCGGAGGCCGCGGCAGCTGCTTCTTCTCTCAATAATTTATTCTTTGGAAATTGAAGTCTGAAAATACTTCCAGATAGCATGGGTAGCTGTCAAAGCTATCAAGACGCTTTGGAGAGGCTCTGAAGACGCAGCTTGCATTCTACAATTCGCAGCAAGGATTGTCTGACCAAGGAGACTCTAACCCTAGAGGCTTTGTGCATTTGCGGTTCAGCTTCTTGAAAGCAAGCTTGGTGAGGGGCGAGTCGCTTTCAGCTGCCCAGCTTATCTTCAGATGGTTCCGCTAAAGAAGACGTGCTGGGGCATTCTTTGAGCTCGACAATCATTGCCTAGATTCGTAGCCCAACAAGATCGTTTGTACCACTTCAAGAATCAAAAGGATTGCGCTGCTTCACGTCACCGGTGCTCACCCTTATATTCACGCCACCAGACATTTCTTGTGCCCTGTGATACCGTCCCTCCAGGCACCAAAAGTGCCTTCGCTTTTCAGATGTTGGAAGGGGACAGTCCTGAGGCTGCCGCCAAAAGCCAAGATGCAGTGGACCCGATAGTGTGGCCATCAGATGGACAGGTGTCAGTGGCATGGATCGAGAAGCTGCGAGAAGCATTGGTGCATGCCACCTGGAAGCGGAAACCCGATGAGCTTCCTCAGATCTTCCCCCCGCAGGTAAGAGATGGCCTAAAACTTTTTCGTCCTGTGGTCATTACCTGCTCATGAAAGGCACCTTCTTTTGCGATTCACCATTTGGCTAGCTAGGTCAGATGATAAGTGCCCAAAGCAATCTGCTTATTTTGCAAGCCCAACAGCTTCTGCTGGAGAGGACACTTGACTTCCTCAAGTCTCCAACCGACAATTAGAGCCTAGGTTTGCCCTCTTCTTTCTGCAGACTCCAGCATTCAGCCCCTGAGGGGTTTGGTGGTTCTACGCTTTGCTGATTCAGACCCTTCAATGCTGCGCAGGTCTTTGAGGCACTCATAGACAGAGCGACCAAGCTGATGCAATCGGAGCAGAATGTGGTGGATGTAAGCCCGAAGAATGGAGAGACGGTGAGCAGCACACCCTCCTCTAAAACCCTAAATGCTGATAATGCGCCCATTTCAGCTTGGTGCAACCAAACTGCCCCTGAAACGGAGTCGTCAAAAGTGCAGCGAAAATCTTTCTAGAGCAGATGGTGTTTACAAACTTTCTGTTCTGACTCTCAAATGCTAACATCCTGCCACAATGAAATCTTGATGAGGGGGGCGCAAAAAGCTGAGCCCGACAAAAGTAAAACATTTCAGAGCCTTTCTATCGGCACCACACAATTTTATATGCTTTGAGCACCGTAAAACGGTCATTGGTGAATGGGCAGTCCGCTTTGTACCTGTTGGAGCTAATCAGGTCTCGTCCTTCGCTCACTAACTGCACCTTCAAATTCACTTTTCCACTTAGCTTCGCTTTTCATTTCATAGCTGGGGGCAGAGGTTCCCAGCTATATTCAAAAGATTCCAAGCTCCTCCTTAATCTCCAGCTATCCCAAATGGTTTCCCACGTGCAGAAATTCAGCAACCCAGAGCTCGGGTATAGGCAACCCACTTCGTGGTCTTCTGATGTTACTTTCATTGGCGTTTGTAACAAGCACTTTCTATGCAACTGCAAGCAACGAATGTTAACGGTTGCTGACCTCTTCAGATATATGCAAGCTTAGAGGCCTGCAAAAGTCAGCAGCTCTCAGAAAGGCGGCTAAGAGCGGACAACAGCACTTAGGGCTCACCTTGTCAGTTTCTACGGGCAGTCTGTTGGTGTCGTTTTATTGCCGCCGACATATAGATCCAAGAGGAAGACCGTCAACTGTCTCGATGAGGAAACAACAAAGTTCGAATGAGCGAAGTTAGGTGTGATAGACTGCCCCGATTCGGTCCGCAGGTCACAGTGGTGGGCGATGTGCACGGCCAGTTCCACGACGTCCTCCGCCTTCTTGAGCGGGCAGGCCAGCCCAGCGAAAAGTCGTTGTTTGTCTTCAACGGAGGTGAGCTCGGCTGCTCATGGAAAGTCAATCAGTGTTCCATTTGACTCGACAACTGAGGCCAGGGCCCTGATGTTCTGCTACCTACTGGTTTATGAAATACCGTGCTTGTATGGCACCCCCTCTTTCAACCAAGAAGATTTGCGGTAGGCGTTGAGCTGCTTAGTGTTCGTCGGTGGCCACCATTATCCTTGGAAAGCAGAGAGAGAGACGGAAGGTGGTTGGCGCTCCCAATCGCTCCCCTTGTTGCAAGCGGGTTCTCTCCTTTCCGAACAAGTCTACTCCCTCCAACTTTAGCTTGTAGCAGGCTTTTACACTCATCTAATAGCTTCCACGATCTTCTGAAACGGACCCAATTTTCACGACTCTTTCCACAGATCTCGTAGTCTGTCCAATGCAGATTATGTCGACCGAGGCGCGTGGAGCGTCGAGACCTACGCCCTGCTTCTGGCGTGGAAAGTGTGCCTTCCGAAGCACGTGATTCTGATACGGGGCAACCACGAGACGAAGTATTGTGCACACGTGTACGGCTTCAAGCAGGAGTTGGAAGCCAAGTATGGAGCCCACAGCAGTCGGGGGCTGTTCAAAAAGCTGTTGGTGAGGCAACGCGTTTTGAGTAGTTTGTCGGCGTCTTTTATGTGCCTAGAAGCATACATTCGAGGGAGCCTAAGGTTTATGCTTTAATTAATGCGGTGCTTGCCTTGTCCGTTGGTAGCGCTGCGCGCCTTTCCCAATGCTCACTGCTGATGCTGACGTGACCCGTGAATCGACCCTTCAACAAATCGCTTCTACTCCAAGTCATTACGACTCGGAGTGACGCTTCTCTCCAGATTGCCCACGTAGCATGTAAGGGAAGGAAATCGCAGCGTCTCCCCGGATTCAATCCGGATTCATTTAGCATTAAGTGTAAAGGCAGCCAACACTCTGTCGGCCTTGCAAATCGTCATTCCGCTCACGACTTACCCGACTTCGCCTTTGCAGCTTCAGAAGTTCACCTTAAAGCTTCTATTTTTGCAGGTTTGCTTTACAGCCCACCCCCTTGCTGCGGTCGTCGGCTTTTCGACTTTCATCGCACACGGGGGGCTGTTCCGCGAACTCCCGTCCTGGTACGGCGGCCGGAAGGGGAAGAAGGGCGGAAAGAACCGGAAGGGGGGGAGAGACAATCATAAGCGCGCCAAGCACGGGTCGGATGCACCGGAAGGGTTGAAAGTGGGGTCCATTGCGGAGCTTCGGAAAGTCAAGCGGGCGGTCTTGGATCCGCTAGACGGGTGAGTTGGTGAATGTGGTTGGTGATCGGACAGCTTTGAGGTGCTTTGAAGCAACTGAGGCACAAAGTGCGGGGGAACAAGGGAGCCAGAGTCGCTGGTTGCGCATGCGCAGATCGTCAGGGCAAGGCTAGTTCCGCGTTTGGGATCCGGGGCAACAGAGAGAAGGAAAAGCAGTGACGTTCAATGTTGTGAAAACGAAAGTAGCCTCTTTTCGTTGGTGGAACTGGTAAGCATACACTCTTCCCAAAGTATTCGTCGGTTTTTTGGCAATCGTGCACATTGCAAGTCAAAACGTGCAATTGTTTTAGTTGATTGCACGGCCGTTCCTGGATCCTAGGCTTTTAGTTCCACTTGGCTGTGGCTCCTGGTCCGAAGGATTGGGCCTTCAAGAGTGACGACGCATCTCGGATGTTCGGTTTTTCCTAAGGTTGGTGACAAATCAGATCGACATATGTCCGCAACGTTCACGCGGTCCATTTATGGTTGTCGGGTCTGTGTCGACCAAACGGCAAAAGATTCCAAAGCTGAGTTTCTCCGAAATTTCAACAACCTTGCGGCTGGAACCTGCTCTAATGCAAGTTTCTGGAAAAACTGTTCTGCGATCTCTGCTCGAAGAGTGGAGCCCTCATCTCAGAAATCGCCCGAAGCTCACATCTTTTGAGCTCTTCTTGCAGCCGAAACCCGCTTCCTTCAGACGTCCTGTGGTCCGACCCCGGCCTAGACCCGGGCATCGTTACCAACGATTCGAGGGGGATTGGGCTCGTCTTTGGCCCCGACTGCACGCAGGTCAGTTGCAACCACACACTTTTTGACTTTGGAATTTTTAGAATCTTGGGGCTTTGGCCTCACTTGCAAGTTGTTATCGGCTGCAAGACATAGGGATAAGCACACTGTAGGAGTTCATCGAGCATACAAAATACAGCAAATGTACCTAAGAGCTTCTAGTACCGAAAATGCAGTCGTAGATTCTGTTCTAGACTTTTAAATGCTGTAGCATTTTCGCCGAGAGCGTGCAGCTCAGGAGTCTCTCCGAACGGTCGGAACACGAGGCTGAGGTTCTCAAAATCCTATGAGCGCAACCGGTCATTTGGTCGTTTGTCAAGCCGTCTAACAAGCTTCTCGAAGTGTCCCGCTTTCTGCATCATTGAGGATAGCAGCGTAAAGGCCAACGCACCACTTCCAGTCGCCCGACGTAATGCTAACTCCCATCTCGGAGACGTTTCTCGAGTGCACCGCCTGGAGCAAGTGATTTGCAGCCACAAAGCCGACCGTTCCTAGTTACGGAAGCAACCTTTTACTGTCAGCTCCCCCCCCACCCCCCCGGCAAATGGGGGAGGGAAATCCTCCTTCAACCAGAGGAACTCCAGTGTCAACGGCCAACATAGCGCTCTCAGTTGCCCAACTTATTACCGCCTCTCGTCTCACAGACACACCGCCTGAAGCTGGTGATCCGCAGCCACAAAGCCGACCACCTCTAGTCAGCAACTAGTCCTGAATGACTTTCACTGTCAGCTCGCTTCCAGATCCAAACCTGTCCAGTGTCAAAGTCAGACACATCACTCTCGGTTGCCCGACTTAACACCGCCTCGTTTCAATTACGGTTTTGAAGTCTCACCTTTTGAAGCTGGTGATCCGCAGCCACAAAGCCGACCACCTCCGCTTTGAAACACCTTTTCCCTCTGTCGGCACTCTTTGTGATCCGAGCAACTGCAGTGTCAACTGCCAACACACCAATCCGTATCCTCCCAATTCAACATCACGTCTCATCTCCGAGACGTTTCTGGAGTCGCCCGCGCTTGAAGCTGTTCATCCGCAGTCCACAGAAGCCGACCTACCCTCATTCTGTGAGCAACTTTTCACTGTCAGCTCCCATTCAAACCAAACCAAAGCCAGAGTCAAGAAGCAATTCACAACTCTTAGTCGCCCAACTTAACACCACCTCTCGGGTTTGGTAATTCAAATCTCAAACCCCTCAAACCCTCAGCCCTCTCCACAGACGTTTCTGGAGTCGCACCGCCTGAAGCTGGTGATCCGAAGCCACGAGGGCCCCGACGCGCGCGAGAAGCGCGAGGGCATGCACGCCATGCTCAGCGGCTTCTGCGAAGACCACGTGGTGCCTGCGGGGAAGCTGGTAACTCTTTTCAGCGCGCCCGACTATCCCCAGTTTCAAAACGTGGACGACGTGGAGCGATATAAGAACACGGCGGCGTATGTCGTGCTCAGCGGGCCCGGTTATGATACACCGGAGGTGCACCACTTTGACGCGGCGTTGCCACGACCGGAGGTGAGAACCGGCGGGTTTAGTTGTTTGACGTGGCTTCTGATGATTTGTGAAGCTGGTAGTGGTTGCGATGTGGTCAAAGCTCGCTGCCTCATCCGACTTCGTCGGGGGCTTTTTGGTTAGCTTGGGACGTCGATGTCTGTTCTGGGTGATCGGACGGCTTGAGTCTTGAGAACGGGCGGATCCAACGGGGCAGCTTTCACGAGCTCTGTGGTATTTTTTTTGTGAAGCAGTCACATTGTGAGCGAGAATAGCAGTCCCGGATCTCTGATCCTCGTCCACAGCTGAAGGAACTCGCACCTTCCTACTGCCACAGGTCAAAGCGTACTACGACTTCGAAACCGCCTTGGATTCGGACGAAGACTTGGACCTGGGGTCGGAAGCGGATGGAAGCGAAGCCAGCCTCTTCTCGGACGGGAGCGATGTAGATAGTTGACCTCGAGAACATATACCACGCAATCTTTGCTGTTGTAGGTTTATCAGAGGTAAGGCCCCTTAGGTATACCAAGGATACAGAATCGAATAAGGATAGAGAGAGCATAGAAGAGTTTCCAGGTAATTGTCGAGCATTGAAAGGTGTGTCATCGTTAACCAGAGTTTCTTGGGATCGGTACAAGCAGCTTCTTTAGGTATGATACGTTGCGCGGGTTGAAGCGGGGTTGCGAAACGTTGGGGCAATTAATGTACGAGGTCTGGATTTCGTGAAGTCTGACAGCCACTTACATCATTGCGGGCGAACACTTTCTATAACCCCAATTCTGCGTTCTAGCTGCGCCATCACATATGGCTGGCTTAGTACATGAGTGCAATTACAATTGCATTCAGATGACTTCACACATGCTGCAGTACCGCGGCATATATCCAGCGCATAATGCAGGACGTACAATTGTACGAATTGGTCAGAATCATCATAACGGTCTGAGCGAAGTTTTATGCTGCATCCTGCATACGTCATAATGCGTCCGACTCCCGTTCTGACAGGTTGAAGATTATCACTGTCATATCTGCAGATCAATATTGTTGAAGTCGCATTGAACATGTGACTCGATTAAACGCATGCTGGCGCGCGTCCGACCGAGCGCGCAAATGATCGAGAACATCGAGGCTGCATCGTATGTCAGGCTGGTTTGTGTCGGGTTCGGTTAGTGTCCGGTTTAGTTAAGGTATTTAACTAGACAGAGGACACTAATTAGAAAATAAGTGCAGCAACACCAAATAGGGTTAGGACATGACATAAGGGAAGAATGAAGCCTCAAGCTTCATTTTTTCTTCTGTTCATACATGGGCTTGTTAAGGGCGGTTCAGTGGAGACCCTTGAGAGTTCTAAGTTGGCCTGGAGAAAGTCTCATGTGATGGTGCATTGGTGAAGCTGAAGATGATGTGCACTCCGGTTACATTCATGGCCCTTCTGTGATGCGGGGAACGTGGCGCAATTCATTCACAGAAGAAAGAATCAAAGGGCATGTTGAGTGTAGGCTGGAGGGGGTTGTGAGACCGCTCAGCGGGGGCGGGGTTGCGCTAGTGAGAGCGGGTTAGTGAGGGTCAGCCTAGAGGGCAGCCTGGGGTGCAGCCTGTGAGGCTGGGTAGCAGCACGGAGCTGCGGGTGTGTGATAAGCGTGGTAACGGCGCCCGCTGTCAGGTCGGGGCAGAGGCATCGGGCCTCTGTCACTGAGGTGCGCCAGAAAGGCAGGGCGCTCGGTCTTATCTAAGGCTAGGGGCGCTCTCGCTGATAAGTATCAGAGGGGGCTGCGTGCGTGTAAAGGCCACGGCCTATGTCCTGGCGGCGGGAGACCGTGCCTGCCGGGGCCCAGCACTGAGCTCGATCATTCGAGAAGTGCTGGTCGCCACGTAAGCCTTGTGGAGTTCCCTCTTTGCTTTGACCTGGTGGCATAGCAACTGGCAGCGGTGGTGTGCAAACCTGGACTTGTTGTCTTCTGAGGCGCCTTGGGAAGGCAGGTCACTTGGCCTTATCTAAGGCTAGAGGTGATCTCGCTGATAGGTATTAGGGGGGGCTCGTGCGCGTAAAGCTCCGGCTAAGTGCCCGGCGGCGGGAGACCGTGCCTGCCGGGCCTCCTTTACTGAGCTCGATTTAATCGAGAGAGTATTGGTCGTGTAACGGCACGACTGCGCACCGACTCCCGGCTGCGCGCTGAACTCGCGGCCGCGCATCGTCCGTTATTATACGCTATCGACTTATTGAATCACTACACGCCACGTGTCCAGGTTACTGCTTCACCGCGTGACCGTCCGATAAAGACCCACGTGCACCGCGTACGAGGGAACCGTCCGATAAGCTTTCGAGACTAAGCTTATGGCCGGCCGAGCACCGAAGCTTCTAGACTAACACTTACCGCCGTGGACTTAGATTCTTATGCGAAGCTTCCAGATGCGAGATCA